TAATGCTTTTGTTTTGTAGTATCCTAATGAGTTTGATATATCATACACGGGATGATAACTACAGATTTTATCCTAAATTGTGTGGGAATTGTGTTAGGTGTGTCAACATCATTGTAACTCTACAATTCACCTAGTAATTGTTTGAAGTGGTTGATTTCAAACTTATCTTATATAATCATTTGTTCTATTATTGCATGTTGATCAGGTAATATTTGTATAAGTTTATGTTATCTATTGAAACATTGATAAAGTACATGATGGTAGCAGGAACAAAAGATCATTTGACATCAGATATTGTTCTACAGACTTTGTTATCACCAGATTTTGATACTGGTGTCAGATCCTAAAAGAAAGCTCTTCACAAGGTCAAGTCCCTGATTACAGGCGCCATACACTGTTGTAAACTAGAATAACACCTCATAAATATTAATAAACACCTTGTGAATAATTAGTGACTACTTCATGAATATTCACAAAATTTAAATTGAATAAAGGATCTTTAAATGGGATGGTTTCTCTTATTATTATCCAACTTTTTTTTTTCATATTTTTTTACTTAATAGAATTTATATAGCGAACATACCATATTTATTTCGAATAAGCAGACTGCTCTGGATGAATTGCGCCTCTGGAGGTTCATTTGGAATAAATGCATCCCTTGAATAAACGCCCTGATGACCCGATCATTCTCAACACATTCTATTATGTTCTACTCCAATAGAATTACATTTATTCTAACCTGGTAGGGATCAATAAGTCTTTATAATCATGCAATAACAACACATTTTGATGGTAATTATGTTTTGTACTTACACACTTACGGTGAAATTAAGGGTCATTTTTAAGAGTATATACGTATTTCATTTTACACATAATAAATGCCTCCTTCAAATACATGCATCCCTCCCATTGATATGTCTGTCAACAAATGCCCTGGGACATTTATTCAAATAAATAAATACGATATAATCCACAACACTCCTCAAAGCACTTTCGTTTGAAAGCCCAACACCATACATGCTGCGCTCCACACATTTTCATTACTTTTCTTTTTCAGTACTTTTCTTGTATCTTTGGTTGGAGTTCCCATTTGCCACTAAAATATTGACAGAAGAGTATATGATTATATACAAGTGTATCAAGTAAAGGGGGCCACCAAGTATATTTTACAAATGAAGAGTAAAAATGAAATGGGAAAGTACTATTTACGGAAAACTTGATATTATCGGAATGATAATAGAACCACTTTGTCTGACATTCGTAGACAGCCTGTCATGGGTTTCAGAATTTCTCACGGTTTTGTAAACATTTTTTATAGATACAAAACTAATTTTTCGCATATTATTTATAAAGAGGAAGATAAGATGCTCAGGTCAAAGTTGACCATGTCAAGTAATTCAACAATGAATTTTTTAATTCATGACACACTCTTAAATATTTGTGTAGCATATTTCATTTCATTTTCATTTTATTTATTTATTCAACCACAATATACATGATAAAATGTGGTTAGGGACAGTTAATGAGAAAATAATTTTTATTTTAACCTATGAAGGGACAACTGCCCTTTCAAAGAAACACAAAATGAACTAAAAAAAAAAGTTTACAAACAATTAGATAAGAAAGTATGTGATAAATGACTACAAAATTTACAATAAAAAATAAATAAAAAATCTAACATACTGAATAAAATAACAATTAACATAAAAGATATAAACTTTTTTTTTAAATGAGAGAAAGCATTTAAAAAAAACCATCAATCAACAATTTCATATATTATAT